ACAGTGTTACATGGTACTCAAGGTACAGTGTTACATGGTACTCAAGGTACAGTGTTACATGGTACTCAAGGTACAGTGTTACATGGTACTCAAGGTACAGTGCTACATGGTACTCAAGGTACAGTGTTAATGGTAACTCAAGGTACAGTGTTACATGGTACTCAAGGTACAGTGTTACATGGTACTCAAGGTACAGTGTTACACGGTACTCAAGGTACAGTGTTACATGGTACTCAAGGTACAGTGTTACATGGTACTCAAGGTACAGTGTTACATGGTACTCAAGGTACAGTGTTACATGGTACTCAGGTACAGTGTTACATGGTACTCAAGGTACAGTGTTACATGGTACTCAAGGTACAGTGTTACATGGTACTCAAGGTACAGTGTTACATGGTACTCAAGGTACAGTGATACATGGTACTCAAGGTACAGTGTTACAAGGTACTCAAGGTACAGTGTTACATGGTACTCAAGGTACAGTGCTACATGGTACTCAAGGTACAGTGTTACATGGTACTCAAGGTACAGTGTTACATGGTACTCAAGGTACAGTGTTACATGGTACTCAAGGTACAGTGTTACATGGTACTCAGGTACAGTGTTACATGGTACTCAAGGTACAGTGTTACATGGTACTCAAGGTACAGTGTTACACGTACTCAAGGTACAGTGATACATGGTACTCAAGGTACAGTGCTACATGGTACTCTCAAGGTACAGTGTTACATGGTACTCAAGGTACAGTGTTACATGGTACTCAAGGTACAGTGTTACATGGTACTCAAGTTACAGTGTTACATGGTACTCAAGGTACAGTGTTACACGGTACTCAGGTACAGTGTGTTACATGGTACTCAAGGTACAGTGTTACATGGCACTCAAGGTACAGTGTTACATGGTACTCAAGGTACAGTGTTACATGGTACTCAAGTACAGTGTTACATGGTACTCAAGGTACAGTGTTACATGGTACTCAAGGTACAGTGTTACATGGTACTCAAGGTACAGTGTTACATGGTACTCAAGGTACAGTGTTACATGGTACTCAAGGTACAGTGTTACACGGTACTCAAGGTACAGTGTTACACGGTACTCAAGGTACAGTGTTACATGGTACTCAAGGTACAGTGTTACATGGTACTCAAGGTACAGTGTTACAAGGTACTCAAGGTACAGTGTTACATGGTACTCAAGGTACAGTGTTACATGGTACTCAAGGTACAGTGTTACATGGTACTCAAGGTACAGTGTTACATGGTACTCAAGGTACAGTGTTATATGGTACTCAAGGTACAGTGATACATGGTACTCAAGGTACAGTGTTACATGGTACTCAAGGTACAGTGTTTCATGGTACTCAAGGTACAGTGTTATATGGTACTCAAGGTACAGTGTTACATGGTACTCAAGGTACAGTGTTATATGGTACTCAAGGTACAGTGTTACATGGTACTCAAGGTACAGTGTTATATGGTACTCAAGGTACAGTGATACATGGTACTCAAGGTACAGTGCTACATGGTACTCAAGGTACAGTGTTATATGGTACTCAAGGTAGTGTTACATGGTACTCAAGGTACAGTGTTACATGGTACTCAAGGTACAGTGTTACATGGTACTCAAGGTACAGTGTTACATGGTACTCAAGGTACAGTGTTATATGGTACTCAAGGTACAGTGTTACATGGTACTCAAGGTACAGTGTTACATGGTACTCAAGGTACAGTGTTACATGGTACTCAAGGTACAGTGCTACATGGTACTCAAGGTACAGTGTTATATGGTACTCAAGGTACAGTGATACATGGTACTCAAGGTACAGTGTTACATGGTACTCAAGGTACAGTGTTACATGGTACTCAAGGTACAGTGTTACATGGTACTCAAGGTACAGTGTTACATGGTACTCAAGGTACAGTGTTACACGGTACTCAAGGTACAGTGTTACATGGTACTCAAGGTACAATGTTACATGGTACTCAAGGTACAGTGTTACATGGTACTCAAGGTACAGTGTTACATGGTACTCAAGGTACAGTGTTACATGGTACTCAAGATACATTGTTACACGGTACTCAAGGTACAGTGTTACATGGTACTCAAGGTTCAGTGTTACATGGTACTCAAGGTACAGTGTTACATGGTACTCAAGGTACAGTGTTACATGGTACTCAAGGTACAGTGTTACATGGTACTCAAGGTACAGTGTTACATGGTACTCAAGGTACAGTGTTACATGGTACTCAAGGTACAGTGTTACATGGTACTCAAGGTACAGTGTTACACGGTACTCAAGGTACAGTGTTACATGGTACTCAAGGTACAGTGTTACATGGTACTCAAGGTACAGTGTTACATGGTACTCAAGGTACAGTGTTACATGGTACTCAAGGTACAGTGTTATATGGCACTCAAGGTACAGTGTTACATGGCACTCAAGGTACAGTGTTACATGGTACTCAAGGTACAGTGTTACATGGTACTCAAGGTACAGTGT